AGAGGTTATCTGTAGATATCGAAGATATTTCGTTTGAGGTGATGAAGCACTGACAGTATAATTTTGCCACAATGATATGAGGAGATCAGACGTTTCCATTCAATTTCAATTAGCAGATTAATTCCATCTGGGCGAGTAAGGGCAGTCCATTTTACAAGCAGATTGATACGAACAGTACTTACATGTTGACTCTCCTTGTCAAGTGAGGACTTAAAATGAGTCTAAAGTTGAAAAGTGCATTGTTTATATTGTCGAATGATAGCTGCGGTGTCACGGTTTACTCCCCCTTGGGCTATTTATAAGACCAATGCGAGGTCAATAGTGCACTCCACATCTGTCTGGATGAAAAAAACCTTAGGGAAAGCAAGGCAATGTGAAATTGAATGAAAACGTCCGCTCTACTCATATCATTGTGGGAAAATTCTTCTACCAGTCCTTAATTACCTTAAACGAAATAGGTTGAATACATCTCCTATTACTGATTTACTGGTAATCTCTAAATTTTCATTGCATACGAAAATATCTGTAGATGTTCATTATCAACCTTAATTACCACATAAATGAGTAGACCTCAGAATGCCATTGACTTTCACATTGCTTTGCCTCTCCAAAATTCCACAATCATTGATACTCACATTCTATTGTCCAAATTGCACGCCCTACCAGCACAACCCGTGTTCAAGTCCCGCTGGGGGGCGAGACGTTGAAATCCATTGGATGCATGATCGTTGGAAATCTCAAATATCAATCCCTCATCAGCATAAGATAACTAAGATGACATCCAGATCTGCTGATCGCCACCAAATCCCTTACGAGTCGTGGGGCGATGTGATCCCTAACCCACTTCGACCAAAAGGTCCGAAATGGAAATTAGCTTAACATCACAATATTGTTAAAGAATACTGCGAACAAACAAAAGGTCACAACATCGTGGTCTTATATATAAATATATATTTTTATATTTATATATATATTTAGGATATATTCATTTGGATCAATAGAAAAAGGAATATAACCGAATACAGATAATGCTTTTTGGTAGAGTATTTCTAAAAAGGAACCGTGTAAAAATTCCCACATATGAAATTAATGTCGTAGAGACCAACGAAGTCGACCAGTGGGGCAAATTTATCTCACTCATAGGGTATGACTTTGGTTATTTCCACGTGTGTGTACCTACCCTGTTGGCTTTCCTAGTCATTTTGGATGTTTCTTCGTACATGAATCACATCGGCTATTTGAAGAAAATGTCTCTCCGAAGATGGTTGATTCACATGCTCTATGTACAGGGAGAATAAGCAGCCTGAGTATGATTCACGCAGGATGGAACATTATTTTCGGTTGTGTGGATAAATATCGACATTAGGCAAACTTGAGACAGATTACTTCTATCCAGACTAGCCTTGTTGGATCTAAATGAGCTTAAGCAAATAAAGCATAATGTCCAAAGTGGAGCTGGGCTGTGGCTTAAGGCACCGCAAATTTGGCGACTGTCTTATCTCTCAGATTCGCCGTCATCTGAGGCGAACTGGCATGTGGACTTTCAGTACCTGCCTCTGCAACCGGCTGTAGTGAGCCGAAAATGGACCAAACGCGATTATTTTGTACAGTTTCAACAAGGCGTTTTGTAGACTTTGAACTGTAAACGGCGAGCAGAGAAACTCGTATCAGACAAACAAGCCGGCAGGTTAAGTTGATTGCAAGGGGTGCCGGCAAAATCACATATGCCGTCATGTATGCACGAGCTCAGGCGCATTCATATGCCTGCCAGCACAGGGTCAGGGGGGCTGAACCGAGAGAGGTGAGGAGGAGGCATGTGAAACGCGTGGCTCCTCCTCTCTTCTGACGAGTCGAATGCTCCAAACCTGAGTCTGGTAGAAGACTGAAATTTCAGTTGTTTGCCAAGACATTGTAAGCCATACAGGGGAGGTCTTCTGAAGGAATATGTGTTTGATGCACTGGCAGGCAAAGACCAGACAACCGTCCGTAGAAATGATAGACAGAATCCAACCGAGATGGTGTATACTAATGCTAGACTTTGTTGAAAATGTTTGCCTAATAAAATGATCATACGCTAAATGAGTAGACCTTGAATAAAAGCTGTAGCCACCGCAATTCGCATAAAGTTATGAAAAGAGGCTAGTTGAATTTCCGCACACGAAAATGTATTTAGCCTCGTCTTCCAAAAGGGATTCGCATCCAGTTCTGAAATATTCTGAAAATCATCAGATCGCCTCAGGAGACTGGAACCTAAAAAGGGTTAAGTTCAATTTTGACATGCTACCACCACTTGACTTCGCCAAGAGTTACAGTTGGTCGCAAATCTTTTCATAATGAATACATGTAACCTAGTCGATTGTAATTGCAAGAAAACGATAGCAAAAAGTGCTGGTTCTTGAAAACTCTCTTATTAGCAGATAAATTCCATCTGGGCGAGTAGGCAGTCCAATTTACAAACAGATTCATAGGAACAATACTCACATGTTGATTCTCATCATCAATTTAGGACTTAAAATGACAGTCTAAAGTTTCCGGAATAAGGAAGGTCAACGTTAAAGATATTAAAGAGCATGTACGACATATTGTCGAATAGTAGCTGATTAGTAAGTAGTATAGAGTAAAGTACTCATTTCTGATGCTGGAAATCATCATCAATACAATGGAAGACACTTTCAGTAATTCAGTCCAAAGAAATGGGTTAACATTGCATTAAACCTATTTCCAGGCTTATGATAATTTTTGATTTACATTTAATGTTAGCATTCATGCTATGGCACCAGTAAAAAAGGCAATAAATTCAGGTTTTTTTGCTTCACGAATATGGCAATCTCAGATAAATTTTATTGCATTTTTTTCTGTAATTAACTAATAGCAAACACACTAAAGGTTTGATTTTATTTTTTTTCCGTTTGATACGCAGATTTTAGAAACTGCCGGTAGATAAACTATATATGAAATGTCTAATCATAGCATCGCGTGAAACTTGAACTTATCGCCTTAAACAAAATAGGGTGAATATATTATTGCGATAAATATCTAATTACAATTACAATAATGCATGCTTACGAAAACATTTTATATTAGCTGCCCTATCATCA